TAAGTGTTTACATCAGATGCTTTTGTGCAGATGAGGGAACCTGCCCCGGGTTCCCTTGTCTGGACAGGCCCGCAACGGACGGGGACCCAGCTGGGCACTGGGAGAATGGGGTGGAGCCACGGGAAGTTCTCACCTTGCGCATTGGGGAGGAGCCTGGCCTCCAGCTCATGTGTAGTGGCCTGGTTATCAGTCTGTAAGCTGGGAACCCACTGGCAGGATCCCCTCTAGCTTTGCTGAGAGTTTTTCTCTTTTTTCCTTTTCACCCAATACTGCTCTCCTCACCCTTCTATGTGTCCACGTGCCTAATTTTTCCTGGTCATGACACAAGAACCCAGATTTAGTTGAACTAAGGAGCAAAAATTCTGCATCACGATTTTGAGTGTGATGATGGTTTCACAGATGCGTGTGCGTGTACACGTATCAGACTGTAACCTTTAAGGATGTGCAGTTTATTGTATGTCAATTATGGCAATAAAGCCGGGAAGAAAAACCAGGGGTAAAAAGGTACGTTGGCGGAGTGAACCAGCCTCACCCATCCGGTCTCCTGGGTGTAAAGTTTAAAGTAAGTGCATTTAATATTCGGCCCTTCTGAGAGACCAGTCTACCTAACTAGGAATATTACCCAAAAGATCAGATTAGATACAAAGATGAAAGATCTAATTTACAAATAAGAAATAATCTTAAATAACCTCATCTCTCAGACTTCGCAGTAACAGTACAGTAAAACCCAGAAAGAAGCAAAGAGGTTTTAAGGATTGTGAGATGAGTACAAATGACCACATGTATGAATAAGAGCGAGGAAATGCTGGGAGGGAAATAAAAACGGGTTATCACCCCACTCGCTACTTCAAAGGCTAGTGGTCAAAACCAGGGATGTATGTCCAGGACAATTCAGTGTGGTCACTTTTTATAAGTTCTCCTTTTTTTTCTTTTTGCCATAAAGTTCCTTGGAATTGGTTCAAAACAAATTTGGAACCCTCTCTCTCCTCCCCTGAACCCTTGCTATTTATTTATTTATTTAAAAACGGAGTCTCACTCGGTTGCCCAGGCTGGAGTGCAGTGGTGTGATCTTGGCTCACTGCAGTCTCTGCCTCCTGGGTTCAAGTGGCTCTGCTGCCCCAGCCTCCAGAGTAGTTGGGATTACAGACCGAGATTGCACCACTGCACTCCAGCCTGGGCAACAAGAGTGAAACTCTGTCTCAAAATATAAAAAAATAAAATAAAATATTTTATATTAATTGGATCATAAGAAATATGTCCTTAAGCTTAAGAGGTGCATGCCTCCATGCCCAGGTAATTTTTTTGCATTTTTAGTAGAGATGAGGTTTCACCATGTTGGCCAGGTTGGTCTAAACTCCTGACCTCAGGCGATCCAACCACCTCGACCTCCCAAAGTGCTGGGATTACAGGAGTGACCACCGTGCCCCGCCTGCTCTTAATTTATTTAGATAGGAAGCACAGTTCAGTCTGTGGAATTGGGTTAAATGTGGCTTTTAATGGATTATATAGACCACAAGGCTAGTATGCAGGAAATTCTCAAGCCTTACCTTTGTCAGAACTTTCAGATGAGTTAAAAATACGTTTTAGATTATAACTCTTAACAATGACCTAAAATACGCTACTCTTACAAAAGGATCCCTGCATCTAATTAGAAGAAGAGGGTTCCCTCCTGCATGAGGACCAGGGGTCAGAAGAGAGCACAGAATAAGGGGTCCTGTGTTTAAGCTGCCGGGGGAGGTGAGAGGGGGCTGGGCAGCCCTCCTAGCCACTGCCGGGAAAGAACTTTCCAGAGCTAGAGCCACACACCCACCCACTCCTGCAGCTCACACTAATTCCATATTTCAGAACAAGCTCTAGAGTATATTTTATCCAGAGAAAAAAGCGTATCTTTGAACTCTTTTACTAGACAATGAACTATATTTTTCACCCTGGGGGTGGGGCTGGGGGAGCCTGCCTTCCCTAAAAAAGAAAGGCAAAAAAGAAAAACAAACAAAAGCAAAATAAATCTTTTCAAACCCATAAAGAAAAAGTTTTTCTGATAAATAGCACAAATAGTCAGTGAACAGTGAACCAGCATGGGGTGTGTCTGTGACGGGTGAAGAAAGGTCGCACATTGTGGGGTTAAGGGCTGGGTTCTGGGCTGGTGATCTCCGGCCAGTCAGGATGTCCTGGGGCCTGCCTGCTTTCCTCCTTCCTTAAATAAACATAGCAATGACCTCACAAGGCTGCTCTTGGGCTTAGGCAAGTCGAGGTGAGAGGTGTGTGGGCAGCCTGCAGTGCTCAGGAAGCAATGGCGGTCATTGTCAAAGCCATTAACCTGGGTTCGCTGCAAGCAACCTACCCAGGCCACTCAAGGCGCCACCTGATGCGGAGCCTTTTCCTTGCTCTCCTCCAGCCTCCCTGTCCCCTCCTGCACTGCTCTGGGGGCCATGATCTCCCTAAACCTTCACTCTCTCCACAGTGCTTATCCCCTGCTTAATGCGCCAGAAGAAAGGGAGTCAAAACTTGCACCATCTGTAAAGATCTGCCAGGGTCATTCCCAAAGCTGCTCAGTCACAAAGGCCCCCCAGAGTCCTCAAGGGCTCACTAGCCTCTTGCAATTCCTGATTGACTAAGCTGAGAACACTGCCACCTTTTACAAGGCACGATCACGCCAGCATGCAGAGAACAGCCCTCTAGAGCCAGCTGAGAGGCAGGGTCCAGGCCCGGGCGCTGTGTCTTTCTGGCTGTATGAACAGTGGCAAGTTACTCAATTTGCCTTGTTTTTTTTTTTTTTTTGAGACGGTGTCTTGCTCTGTTGCCCAGGCATTACAAGTGTACACCACCACGCCTGGCTAATTTTTATATTTTCAGTAGAGATGGGGTTTCACCGTGTTGGCCAGACTGGTCTTTAACTCCTGACCTCAAGTGATCTGCCTGCCTCGGCCTCCCAAAGTGCTGGGATTACAGGTGTGAGCCACCACACCTGGACTTTTTTGTTTTTTTTTAAGACGGAGTCTCACTCTGTGGCCAAAGCTAGAATGCAGTGGTATGATCTCCGCTCACTGCAACCTCTGCCACCTGGGTTCAAACAATTCTCCTGCCTCAGCCTCCTGAGAAGAGTAGCTGGGATTACAGGTGCCCGCCACCACACCTGGGTAATTTTTTGTATTCTTTAGTAGAGACGGTGTTTCGCCATGTTGGTTAGACTGGTTTTGAACTCCTGACCTCAGGTGATCTGCCCGCCTCAGTCTCCCAAAGTGTTGGGATTACAGGCATGAGCCACCACGCCCAGCCAAGTTACTTAATTTCTTTGAGCTTATTTCTGTATAGTCACGCACTACACAGTGACATTTGGTCAACAACAGACCGTAAGTTCAACTGTGGTATCATGGTCCCATAAGATGATAATACTGTATTTTTGCTGTAACCTTTTCTATTATATGTTTTGGTATGTGTAGACACACAAATACTTACCACTGTGTCACAGGGGCCTGTGCTATTCAGTACAGTAACACGCTGTACAGTGGTGTGGCCTGGGAACGACAGGCTGCACCGCAGAGCCTCGGTGTGCAGCAGGCTGTACCATCTGGGTTTAAGTGTACTCTATGACTTTCACACAATGATGAAATCGCTAAGGATGCATTTCTCACAACCTGTCCCTGTCATTAAGCAACATGACTGTAATACCCATGTACACACCACCCAGGTTTATCACACTGCTGGAGTCTTTTAAAAATATACAACCTAGAGAGAATTGGGGTCCCCAAGGGAGCCCTCCCCAATTCTCCCTCCATCTCGTTCAGGAGGCGACTGAGTCCTTAAAGCTTGCAATATATATATGTCTGTTTCCAACAGTGATGTACTAGATTGTTTAGTGTTAAAGATTTTACGTGGGCTAGATGCGGTGGCTCAGGCCTGTAATTCCTGCACTTTGGGAGGCTGAGGCGGGCGGACCACCTGAGGTCAGGAGTTTGAGACCAGCCTGGCCAACATGGTGAAACCCTATCTCTACTAAAAATACAAAAATTAGCCAGGTGTGGTGACAGACACCTGTAATTCCAGCTACTAGGGAGGCTGAGACAGAAGAACTGCTTGAACCCGGGAGATGGAGGTTGCAGTGGGCTGAGATCATACCACTGCACTCCAGCCTGGGCAACAAGAGCAAAACTCTGTCTCAAAAAATAAAAAAAGTAAATAAAAGATTTTACATTAATTGGATCTTAAATATATCATTAAGCTTGTTTATTTTCATTTGATGTTTCTTAATTTTTTTGTTTGTTTGTTTTAAAGACAGGGTCTCACTGTCACCCAGGCTGGAGTGTAGTGGCAATCATAGCTCATGGCAGCCTCGAGCTCCTGGGCTCAAATGGTCCTCCTGCCTCAGCATCCTGAGTAGCTAGGACCACAGGCATGCGCCACCATGCCTGGCTAATTTTTTTTTAATTAAAAAATGTTTTTGTATAGATGGGGCCTCACCATGTTGGTTAGGCTGGTCTTGAACTCCTGACCTCAAGTGATCCACCTGCCTCAGCCTTCCAAAGTGTTGGGATTATAGGCGTGAGCCACCGCGCCTGGTGTAGTCTGTTCTTTTAAATTGCTATGAAGTATGCCACTGTATAAACGCATCCCAATTTATCTGTTTCCCTTTGACGCACGTCCAGCTTGTTTCCCATCCTTCCCTCTTACCAACAGTGCCTCCACGCAGACGCTTGCACACGTCTCCTCTTAAAAATGTCTAGCTGTCCCCCGTGGGCTTGCTGGGGTTAGGGTCTGTGTACTTTAGCTGCTCCCCGTGACTGAATCTCAAGCATTGTTTGATGCATGCATGGTTTTCACAAGAGGTAGCACCGTGAGCCGTGACACGTGCCTTCCAGGGCCCAGTGGCACTGGAGGTGATGCCTTACCACCTCCGAAGGTTTCCTTGCAAAAAAGTGTGACTTATTTTCCAGCTAAAAAGAACAGCTTTCTTTAGGAAGAAACATTTCTAAATAAAACTTTCTAGGAAACAGCACACTTACCCGTGATGACCGAGCCATCTGAGCCAGGACAGCTTCCTAAATACTGGTATTCTGTAAAACCGAAGCTTCCAGAACTATCCTCGCCGATGGATTGCGAAATCTCTTGGATGTTTCCCATTTCTTGCAGGAATTCTTCAGATAACGGGCTCTCTAGATCGCCAGCCTCGAGTGGGGAGAGGGGGCAGAGCGGGCTTTCTGTGTCCACCATCGTGACTGGATGGTGTTGGTTGTGCAGCCGAGCTCCAAGCTACCGGGAGGAAAGAGGAACAATTGATAAGGTTGACGTATAACAACATTCACTTGTTTGTTTGATTGATTGATTGATTGATTGGCGGAGTCTCGCTCTGTCGCCCAGGCGGGAGTGCAGTGGTGCGATCTCAGCTCACTGCAAGCTCCACCTCCCGGGTTCATGCCATTCTCCTGCCTCAGCCTCCTGAGTGGCTGGGACTACAGGAGCCCGCCAGCACGCCTGGCTAATTTTTTTGTATTATTAGTAGAGATGGGCTTTCACCACATTGGCCAGGCTGGTCTCGAACTTCTGACGTCAGGTGATCCGCCTGCCTTGGCCTTCTAAAGTACTTTGATTAGAGGTGTGAGCCACTGCGCCTGGCCACTTGCTTGTTTTGAAATGCAACGTCATTTATCATCGAAGATACGCCTGAATTCATCATCTAAACGGGAACAGTGCTGAGCCTCTCCTCTGGGCTTGGCTATTGATCAGCACGCTGTGAAAGTGAAAACCTTTAAACAAAATGTTGTAGGAGCCGCAGCCCGAGGGCCAGGACTCACTCAGCCATCACTGACTCAGCAGTTGTGCAGCGCTCCATACAATGTGTTTGAGGTGCTGGGGACACAGCGGAGACACAGATCCCTGGGCTGGGCACAGTGGCTCGCGCCTGTAATCCCAGCACTTTGGAAGGCCAAGGCGGGTGGATCACTTGAGGTCAGGAGTTTGAGACCAGCCTGGCCAACGTGGAGAAAGCCCGTCTCTACTAAAAATACAAAAATTAGCTGGGCGTGGTGGCGGGCACCTGTAATCCCAGCTATTCAGGAGGCTGAGGCAGGAGAATCGCTTGAACCTGGGAGGTGGAGGTTGCAGTGAGCCAAGATCGTGCCATCACACTCTAGCCTGGACAACAGAGTGAGACTGTGTCTCAGAAACAAACAAACCAATAAACAAAAACAAACAAAAAAAAACAGGGCCGGGTGCGGTGGCTCATGCCTGTAATCCCAGCACTTTGGGAGGCCGAGGCAGGCGGATCACGAGGTCAGGAGTTGGAGAGCAGCCTGACCAACACGATGAAACCCCATCTCTACTAAAAATACAAAAATTAGCCCGACTTGGTGGCGGGTGCCTGTAATTCCAGCTACTCAGGAGGCTGAGGCAGGAGAATCCCTTGAACATGGGAGGTGGAGGTTGCGGTGAGCTGAGATTGCACCACTGCACTCCAGCCTGGGCGACAGAGTGAGACTCCACCTCAAAACAACGACGACAACAACAACAAACAAAAACCAGATCCCTGCTCTCAGGGAGCCTCCCTTGTAACTGGGACACAAACGGTGAATAAAGAAACGAATGCACATGTGGAGTGTCCGGGGTGAGGCCAGGGAAGTTCACACTGATTAGGGGGCAGGAGATAACCTCAGGGAATGAGGGGGCAAGCTGTGTAAATGTCTTGGGGGAGAAAGTTCCAGCAAAGAGAACACCAAGTGCAAAGGCTCCAGCCAGGACTGAAACATGCTGGCACACCCCAGGAACAACAGGCAGCCAGTGTGGCTCAGGCTGCCCATGGGGCGCAGGGAGCAGGGCCAAGCCGGTGGCATGTGTGCTGGGTGTGACATCCACTTGGGTGTGCTCTCCCTGTAGCCATGAAGGCAGCTCATGCAGGGGGTCCTCGACTGTGATGGTATGGCCAAGAATACTTTGTGGAGTCCAAACAAATTTAACTGGGTGAGTCTCAGACAATAGTGGGCTGTTTCAACTAGCAAAGCAAACAGCATTTCCATAGGGGTACAGTGACAAAGCAGCGGTTCTTCCCAGGTTGGTCTGTATCATGCTCTCGCTGAAACATCTTAAACCACTTCCTGGGACCTCCAGATTGAAGCCCAGTCTCCTGAGAACACTGTTCCAGCCCTTCCACATCTGTCCCTACCTGATGGTGCACTTGTCACCATTCTTCTACCTCCTGGAAACCCAGCAGCACCGAGAATTGCTTTCAGGATTTCACGTCTGCACCTTTGCCCAGGTGCCACCTGCCTGAACCGCCCTGCCCACCACTGCCTTGTAGAGGCTCTGCCTTGGGTCCACCTCCCTGAACCCAGCTGAGTCATCAATCGCCCAACGAGGCTGACTAGGTGACCTTTAGCTTCCAGAACTATCTTCCCTTCTGAAAATGGTCACATGATGCCCACAGATCACATCACGGAGAGGCTCAGGGGGCATGTGCTGCCACCAGCCACTGTCAGGGCAGCCGTCATCACATGGTGATTATGGAACGCCAGACTCTCCAGATGGAGTGAAGAATACTGTCCCAAAGACAATATTAATCCATTAAATGCATTTGCGTAAAAATACGTTCACATCTGAGGTTTGCTTAATGTAAACAACAGCTTTTAGTGCGGTGAAGAAGGGATGCTTTGGCTTCCTCTACCAATGAAAAATAGATACCTTTCATCCATTTTTGTGAAATTCACATCTTATGTTTGGAATTCTGGCAATAAATCATCAGAGTTCACAGGGAAATCATCAAATAGCACACAGGGAAAAATAACAGAGAACTGTTAACCTTTCATAGGGTTTAGAAGACTTTCTTTCTCTATAACTTATTAACTTAAATCAGGTTGTGAATCTGTACAGATTTTCTGTCGTATTTTATTCTGCATTCTGTCTGAAGGGAGATTTTTTTTTCAAATGGCAAGAAACATAATGGGGTAAGCATTACTTAAAATGTTTTTCACTATGAACAAAAAGTTCAAAAGTTGCAGTCACTAACTGACTATTAACCATGAGGTTCATTCCAATAGAAAGCAAGTAGCTAGGGCTGGGCATGGTGGCTCATGCCTGTAATCCCAGCACTTTGGAAGGCTGAGGTGGGCAGATCACTTAAGGTCAGGAGTTCGAAACCAGCCTGGCCAACATGGTGAAACCCCGTCTTTACTAAAAATACAAAAATTAGCCGGGAGTGATGGTAGGTGCCTGTAATCCCAGCTACTCAGGAGACTGAGGCAAGAGAATTGCTTGAACCCAGGAGGCGGAGGTTACAGTGAGCCAAGATCATGCTGTCACACTCCAGGCTAGGAGTTAAGAACAAGACTTTGTCGAAAGAAAGGGAAGAAAGAAAGAAAGAAAGAGAGAGAGAGAGAAGAGAAAAGAAAAAAGAAAAGAAAAGAAAAGAAAAGAAAAGAAAAGAAAAGAAAAGAAAAGAGGCCGGGCGCGGTGGCTCAAGCCTGTAATCCCAGCACTTTGGGAGGCCGAGACGGGTGGATCACGAGGTCAGGAGATCAAGACCATC